AAGTTGTTAATTACACAGCTTGGTAGGTAGTCTAGCGTTGGGCAACAAAATCGATTAATCGATTATAATCAAACGATAATCGATAATCGGGTTTGATTATTCTATTAAATTAATCGATTAATCGATTATTTGATTAATCGATTGTTTGATTAATCGATTATTTGATTAATCGGTTATTTGATTAATCGATTGTTTGATTAATCAATTATTAAGTAAATTTTAATTTATTATTATTAGCTGGATCATCAGTTTACGCAAAATGGAGCACTCACAGCTCACAAGTATTATTTTATTTTATAGCAGATGTTAAAACGTCACTTTAAGCAGCTAAAATGAATTAAGATTGTAGGTATCATCAAAACTAAAGCACACCTCATCTGAGAGTAAGCTGCCTAATCATTTATTTTTATTTATTTATTTTTATTTTTGACCTTCATTTTCAAATGGGCAGGGTTTCAGCCAAGGCTGTTCTACCAACCAACCCACTATGCATTTGCAAATATCCATGCCCGAACCCGGATTCGAACCAGGGACACTTTGTTGATTATTGATTAATCGATCTGCCTAATAATGAACGATTTGATGAAAAGAGTAATGGAATTATTTTTTATTTTTATTATTAAATAATTAACGTATTAATGCATACAAACAGATATTTATCACTCCTTGTATGTGACAATCGACTTTTGATTAAACGATTAGGTGATTAATCGATTATTTGATTAATCGATGATTTGATTAATCGATTATTTGAGTAAACGATTATTTGATTATTTGATTAATCGATTATTTGATTAATCGATTATTTGATTAATCGATTATTTGATTAATCGATTAATCAGTGTAATCGATTATTTTTCATAATCGATTATCGATTATTCAAATCCGTAATCGCCCAGCCCTAGTAGGTACACGTACCCGGTACACTCCTCGCCTTTCTACAAGCGATCTTTTACGTCCCCTCGGTTGCTGATAGTCGGCTAAAGTGAAATTCAGTCCAATTCTGTAACTTAAAATAACCTTAACAACTTGCTAATAGTGAAGGTAATTGCTAGATGAGCAATATTTGTTAAAAGTTTTTCTAGTGATATTTGTATTGCCACATGCCCATAGTATTGTTAGGTTAGCTCTCAAATTGTTCTCTGTTTATGTTTATGATAGATTGAAGAGGTTATATTATTTTTGTTATCCACGCGTGTTTTACGATAGTAGCATTATTCGGCTGTAAATCACTTTTAATTCGATAAAAATGTCTAGTTGTGTGAACCATACACACTCAATTTTGTTTTGGTTAGTTAATACCAACCATGCTTTATCAGCAGTGTTGTGATGTATCTAGATATAGTATCTAGATACTTTAGATATTTGAAAAGTATCTAGATATTAAGATCTTTTTCAAAATTTGTATCTGTATCTACAATTCAGATACTTTTTTTTGTATCTAAGATTTTAGGTACATTTTCTATTTTCTTTATTGTCCAATTCCAATTCAAGTACTTGTCCAAAAATCAAAGTCGCACAAATTAGAAATTTTATTTGTATATAATATCATGAAAATAACTCATGTTGCGCATCAAAAACTGCAGCAACTAAATTCTGCATAAAATTGCATAAGTGTGAATGTCACATTATTAGGAGAGAAAGAAGCCGCCTCAAATCAGAAATTGCTTGATACACCCCTGTATTGTTGAGTTATTTCGCATTCTCTAGTAGACTGTATTCTTTGGTAAAAATTTTAAGGTTATGTTCGTAAGATTTAGAAGATATATTAAAAATTTACCAAGAAAATGATTCGACACATTTCACGAATCTCATCACAATTTAGCAAACCATTTACAGTAATTATTGAAGGTAATATAGGCAGTGGAAAGAGTACATTCCTGCAACACTTTGAAAACCATAAGGATGTTTGTGTATTATCGGAACCAGTAGAAATGTGGCGCAATTGTGCAGGTCACAATTTGCTTGCAAATCACTACGAAAATCCAGTTAAATGGTCGTTCACGTTCCAATCGTACATTCAACTTACAATGCTGCAGCGTCATACTTTTGTAACCAGTAAACCAATTAAATTGCTAGAACGTTCCATTTTTAGTGCACGATACTGCTTTATTGAACAATTATTTAGACGTGGAACGCTCGAAGCACCATCTGTTTCTGTGCTTAATGAGTGGTTCAAATATGTAATAACCAAATTTGACGTATCTGTTGATCTGATTGTGTATTTGCGTACATCGCCGGAAGTAGTTTATGAACGTGTTTTAACAAGAAATCGAAAAGAAGAACAATCTGTATCGTTACAATATTTAAAAGACTTACATGACTTGCATGAGAACTGGCTATTTCACAAGACTGCTTTTTCTCGTCCCGCACATGTCTTGACCCTGAATGCAGACTTGGGTCGATTGGCAATACGGGAAGAATATCAAAAATGTGAAGACCACTTGCTTAGTGTTACTGGTTAAAGATTTGCATTTATATATTAAATCTTAATGTCATATGTACAAGTTATTTATTTGAAAATTGGAAGAATATAAGTGCCACAGTCAGTAGACAATCACTCTTTCCTCTTAAGTCATATGAGTACTTTTCAGTACATCAGTTACCGTCTAGACTCACAGTTTCTTAGTATAACAGTACCAGGATAATTGATCTTTTCATAAAGGAAAGTTTCACATCAAAAAGCAATTCTCTAAGGTATTTAACATGTTATACCATGCTTACAAAAATGTCACCTTGTTGCAGGAGGTAGGTATCACAAAAAACATGTAGGAAGTCAGTTTTTAATGGTGATTAAACTAATAGGGACCAAACATACTAATTACAAAATCATCAGTCTGTAAAAAAAATCAGCTTCGTTCATCCAACCCAACCATGATACCTATAATAACCCAACTGTAACCTATATATCTGTAGAAAGTTCGTGAAAAACCGACGAATTGTTTTTTACGGAGTTATCAAATGTTCGCGATTTTTTAAAATAGTTTTTTAAGAGCTAGGTATTATCGACGTTTTCGTTAGGTGTATAACTTATTTTCTCGAAAAATTACCTTTTAGAATTTGTACCGCAAGTTGTACTCGCAGCGTCTTAAGTCATATGACCTGAGGCGGCAGATGGTCGATTTTAGCATCCTCGCGATAGGGCAAAATGGATTGGTTAACATTTATTGATCATTCTCGTTCAGTGGATTTCGAGCTAGCTCCGCTCCTCTTATCATGTGGATCCAGCCTAAGGGTAGATAAAGTGAAACAGACGAGTGTAAATTCTAATGACATCTGTCATTCTTATTTCAAATGCACGATATAAAATGACGTTGAGAACTATGACAATTCTGTTTCTATGGAAACGATCGCGACAGTAGAACCTTAGCGTAAGCTTGCTATTTTTGGCGTCTCTAAACTAAATTCAGAATTGTCAGAAGCGTGAATGGTGGATGCACAAAAATGTCACGTTTTTGAATGTGCAATCATTTTGTATGACGCTCAGATTTCTGTTGACGACAGAAATTTTGTGCGCGCATACAAAAAGTTTCAACGTGTGGATGCAAATTGTGCGTCGCACATCAGTAGCGGCGTAAGTGATCAGGTAAGCTGCCGCGTTTTTATTCGTTAGGTATTATATTATACAGGGTGTGTTAGTAAATTCGATGTAGGTTTGATTGAGGATGCAAATACAAGCATTTTGACATGAGGAACCCATGTCCGGAAACGCAATCATTCAGCGCTACGCGTCCTTAAAGTTGCGCGCTTTTGCGCCTGAGATTTAGCGCCCCTGGATTTTTTCGTAAATCGTATGGGGTCACATGAAAAACAAGGTAAACGAAACAATCTGCCCGCACCCTCCGGACCATTCCAGGAGTTTTCGAAAAAATGAGACAGTCCATCGCTCGTCGCTACTCCGCTGCACAGCGTGCATTCATGTGGGGGATGAAATTTTGAGAAATTCTTGTAAGGCCTGCTATTAAATGCTTCATTGTTTCGTTTCTTTGAAAAAATGTCATTGCTGATCATTGCTCGGGTGACCGACGGGTGCACATTGAGTGGGCTACCCCGCACGCGCAACTTTAAGGACGCGTAGCGCTGAATGATTGCGTTTCCGGACATGGGTTCCTCATGTCAAAATGCTTGTATTTGCACCCTCAATCACACCTCAAAATATCTACATCGAATTCACTAACACCAGTAGGTATATTAATTTGACTTTTGAGTTTGCTTATGTCCTTTGTTTTATAAATGTCTGATTGTAGAATACTGTCCCGCGAATTCCTGCGGGAATTTATTGAATTATTTTGTAGTAGTGCACGTGCACGAACGCATAAAAAATCGTCCGTCTGTAGTAGCCCATTATAATTACAGAATTTCAAAATTTAAAATTCCATTATAATTACAAGAAACCCGATCGTGGATGCTGAAATGTAACTCAGGATTTCCTAATTCATGTAAGTATTCCAATCGTCTTGCAACCGGCCGTAAGATTCATAAACTCACAGAGTTTAAACCTTATACTTGCTCAGTCTTATAAAAAGAGGGCTCACAACCGCCTTGAATAAAAGCCTCATCTTGCTACCCTGATTCTTTGACATTTGCCGTTATTTACATATACCCGGCACACGTACGACATCTCCTCACTAGCAGTTGCAGAAGAAAATGAAGGGGGTCCCAAACGCAAAAGGGAATTAAGTTATGAAGGCACAGAATGAAGAGTACTTACTCATTTTTCCTTACTCTGTGATGAAGGTAATTTAAGACTCCAATTGGAAGTTGATGGTCAGGGTTGTTAAGAAGCAAGATGATATAATGTAAATTATATCAGTTTCTCTCTACCAATTTGTTTTTTTCTTACATATCCACATTTGCTTTTTATGAGTTTCACACTTTCATTACATATACTGCAATCAAAGGTTTCTCATAAAAATAGGTCATTTCTATTAATTCCCCCAATCCTAAAAAAACTGTTATACCCGAAAACAAAACTTACCAAACAAAAGCAATTGACAAAATTGGATTCGAATAACTTTTAGCTTTTATTATTTTACATTTATCACACAATACATCAACATATAACAGCCTTATTAAGAATCGTCGAAGGTCATTCTACCTACGCCATGATTTTTTATGTACCTGCGGTACTGCTTGTACCTGGAATTTTCTGCCAACTGTTTTTTCATAGTTTCTTCTTTCTCTTTTTGCCACACTTTATAATTTTGCTTAATCCACAGTTGATTTTTTAGATACTCGGCTTTTTCGTGATCTTCGATCGAATCAAACTGATGCTGCCCCATGTTCATGTACTTTCGTATAATGTAAAGCTTCTCGTCTTCGGTGTAAGGTTTCCTAAGAATGGAATGGTTCCACACCCACGACAAGTACCAATAAATGTACTTTACCAACGTGTACGGTGATAAAATTAATTGTATCCAAAGGATATCGAAAAACGTAGGTTTTGCATATGCCCCTTTTATATCCATTTTCTCTTCAATAACCATTCGTATGATCGATTCTTGTTCTTCTTTCTGTTCCGACTTACTTTTTCCACGTTTTTTATGACCTGCATCTGTTCCTAGAAATCCTTGTTGTTGGGCAATTTCCAATGCTCGATTTCTATACTTGGGTACTGTCATGAAATATTTAATGGCAGTTTCATATCGTTGCCACGCGCTGTAGTACTGTATAATCGAAATGATGGATATTGTAACAAAAATTACAATTCGTACATCTACCTTTGGCGCTACACGTCTTCTATAGTATCGATAATAGTGAGCATAATATTCATCCGGATTGTCTAACATATAATCATAATCAGTTCTTGACTCTTCATCTTTTAAAATTTCGTAAGCATTAGCGACTATTTTAAATTTTTCTTCCGCTTCTGCTTTGGCTTTGAGATCTCGATGCAAATCTGGATGGTATTTCTTTGCTAGCTGTCGATAACTTCTCGCAATTTCATTCTTGCTGGATGCCCTTGTAACACCAAGTACGTCATAGCAATTTTCTTTTCCACAATACAAGCCTTCCAGCAACTGGGCTTGTGATAAGTGGGATATCGCGACGACACTGATTAATAATATGTAAATTCGATCGAGCATTCTTGACTGCAGAATTAGTTCGTATGTTCATTCATGCCATTCATAATAACGGCATTACAAAATCACCGCTGCTATGTAAAGCCACGTTTAAATTTCTTCATGATTGCAAATACGTACCAGTCTAGAAAAAAGTGACAAAGGTTAAGGTGAATGGCAATCATCGAATACATACAGGGTTAGTCAGTTTAACATAGCAAGTGGCGCGATTCGGCCATTTTTGGTAGCCATTTTAGTATACTGTGGCTCATAGAGTAGTGTTTTTCTTAAAACTGTTATTCGTATGTTTTTTCACTATATTAGCGTCATAGTGTAAGAATAGTCTTACACTATGCTAAAATGTCTCAATAAAGCGCTGTTAGCATTCAGGTTGTTTGCTTGTTTTGTAGAATTGATTATTTTATTTTTGCATGGCAGATAATACATTATACTATGCGATCAACAATCAGTTCCTGTCGAGTCACCTTTGGAATTTTTGTTTACATGGGAAATCGTATTCAACTTGAACTTCCAAAGGCAACTCGACAGCAACTCATTTTTGATCGCCCGTTATACAGTGTGTAAAGCGATGGGGTATACAAGAGGGAATTTTTTTTAAATATTGATTTATGAAAAAAATTTATTCTTCATGATATTTTTTGCTTGCTTTGAAAGTGACAATAACTTTTCGATAATCTAAAATTCATTTATAGAAATCTGGAAAAATAATAAAATTAATTTTTTTAATTGAAAGTTATCATTCTACATTATAATCAAGATAGCGTATTGCTATCAAACCACAAACAATCGAAACGTTATTTATTGGTACTTTCAAACCAAACAAAAAATATCATGAAGAATAAATTTTTTTCATAAATCAATTACACACTGTATATACCAAGATAGAGAAGTCTAGTATTATTGCAATAATGTTTTTTTACTACTGATGCGTCTGATGATTATTAACCTTTTTTCCACTTATAAAGTAAGTTTTCTCGGCAGTCGTTCAAAGTGAGTTAATAATGTGGTCATTATTAACTAGTAGTCAAATGACAATGAGAACTGTCATGCACATTAATTTAATTTGCAACCGTCAAAATTTTACCGCGGTTAAAAATGTGTCAAAATTTTCACGGTTCTGATTGTATTAGTTTCAAATATCAAATCCATACTAAGTATATAGCTGTTGCTTATGATACGAAACTGTCACTCCGAACAAGTCTAGCTAATGTGCTAATTTCGAATGCACTTATGACTTATCTCTTGATGCGATGTCCAGTTTTGGTGCAAATTCTTTCGCAAATCTTGAAACCGCTGTGAATATTAATTCAGGAAATAAACATGCCGAATATCCCGAGTGCTTAAAAATAGCCTGATTAAATTTTGTCGTTTTTCGCCAAATTGTTTTGCTAAGAAGATGTACTTCTCGTTAATTTTCCACCCAAAAATTTTGTTACGTGGCAAGTTGACTCGACGTACTTCTAAGCAAACCATTTGACGAAAACGTCAAAATTTAATCGGCTGTTTTTATGCACTTGGGATATTACTGTTGATTAGGTATACCAATTAATAAGATGATTACTCATTCCACCATTAAATCTTCGTCGACAAGCATTTGAGCAGATCTTCTTGTTTAAATTATTAAATGGAGAAGTTCATGCTAGTGAACTACTACACAGTCTAAATTTTGTGGCACCCATCAAAAGAACTACCAGCAAGAAATTATTTTACATTAATAATATGCATAGAACTAATTACGCCATGTTTACACCAGTTGATAAGATTTGCTCAGATGCAAACGGACTTAATATTAACATGTTTAGTGTACCATTTTCGAAGTTCCGGAGAGAACTGGAACATAAATTGTAGGTATGGTTAAGTTATTTGTAATTTTTATAATGGATACTGTCCATCAAAAAAATATATATATATATATGGTCGGTGTTTCTTGTGAGAACTCAGGTCTAGCCTGGTTAACTAATCGCACGGATTAAAATCAAGTAACGATTAGTGTCTGTGTCTGTGTCTGCTGAAGTTATGTAGGGTTCTAAAGAAAAATAAAAATTAAAAAATAAAATAAATATTCGCACACTCACATTGGAAATCTAGGGATAGTATGTAATTCATACTTACCAACATAGCTATTAATGGCCACAATAGTCAACGCTATCAGGAAAGAAGAAAACAAAACAAAAATATTATTACCTATAATAATTCCTGTACTTTTATTAAATGGAGTTTATTGTGTAAGTGTTTCTTTGGCTTTGCGTTTGGGTTGTATACGAGTGGGTTGTGATAACGTGGTGTGTTTATGTGAAGAAGGAGTTTTGTGTTTTATTATTTATTATTATTATTATTATTATTATTATTATTATCAATGATTATACATAATCAATGGTATTCTGTTTTGCACGAGGAGACTTCTTCATTAGGGACATTAGGCCGAAAAAAAGACGTTTAAGCTAAATAAAGTTCAATCCTCCTTACAATGCGCATGCGAAACAAAGAAACGTCAAAGTTGCAAATTGTTGTTAAGTAAAATGGTAGGTAAGGTAATTGTGAAAAATGCAATAAATTGTTTTCATCACAGGCTATTACATATAATGAATAAACATATTCGTAATGTACATTTAAACTCGCAGACTTTGAGGTTGTCGTTTTTCTGACGAAATTTGTAAATAATTGAAGATTTTTTTCCAAGATCTTAGTCTTGACTTAACCAAAGAACATAAAATTTTAGTTCTTATCTTATTTTATTCCCTCTAATTGCACATATGACGAGTCTGGCCGGAGCATTTTTTTTAAATTTATGCTGTGGTCTAACTTGTGCTATATACCGGGTGAATACTTTCAAACCGAACATAGGGAATTAACATGGGAAAACAGTTTTTGGCAGCTTGTTGCTCCCTAAATTAACTTAGAGGGTTCATAATGGCACCACTGGAAAGCAGAAGAAGATTTTTTTCTCATCTAACTAAATGCGAATTAGTTTAGTTTTATTTGTATTTTCTCATTATTTTATCAAAAATTCGCAAAATAAAATGAAGACAGAAAATCATGTAGCCATGACCCGTGGATTGAAGCATTCGAAATTGCCAAATTGAAAAACTATCTGTCGAATTGTCGATATTGACGGAATAGAGGTTTGATTAAATTACACGGAAAATAAATCTCGCACTCTGCGATAACTATTACCGCCGTAAACGTTTTTTAAAATAAACATTTTTCCTCATTGGAATACATCGTAAGTTTTGTAGTAAGTACAAATTAAAATTAGGTATTGACAGTTATCGTACCTTGTTTTCATGACTACCGTGATTTTTTAAACCAAGTACACATTTTGACTACCTAATTTCACAATAGTATATTGAAAGACAAGTGTTACAATGCGACCTATTGTAATACGACTATCTTGTGGCACGACTGGCGACGCGAAGCGTAGCCACGAGTGTCCGCAAGATAGGAGTATTACAATAAAGCATTGTAACACGCGTTTTTCATACTATTTTTTCTATTTCGGTGCCTTAATTTAATTAAAAAAATCATTATCAGAAACTATAGGGAACATTAGAACTAACATGTTTTATGTTGGGAACACTTTTTATGTCGTTAAGTTTTAGGTTGGCAGCGTAGTAAGACCATATATATACAGTGAATTTTTTTTAAATGCGAACATAGGAGTTTGCATGCAATGTAATTTCCCTATGTTCGATTTTAAAAAAAACACATCAATCTATTGAGTAGTTCAAATGAGTAGTAGATACAATTGACAGCTGTCACATTTTTTAAAATACCGCCGTCCAATTTAATTACGAAATCGGTTAGGTTATTGCTTAGAATGTCAAGGAGGACACTTCGAACATTTATTGTAATTGTTTTCGTTATTTATTTTCTTAATTTATGTATTGAATAGATCAAATTAGTAGAATATCAGGTGCACATGACCTACAAATAATTGAAGGTTGGTTCACAATGAATTGTGATGTCAGCGCGTGCCATGTGAAGTCAAGTTATCGTAAGTTTAAAAAAAATGTATCCTAAAGTTGCTATGGCCTCACATGGCTTATTTAAAAAAATCTGACCGAGTGCTCTTCATCATAAAGATTATGAGTTGAGTTGCTGTTCATAGTCACACAAGTTGCGCGTTTTGGGAATGTGAACCGCGCACACCTCATAGATTGATGTGTTTTTTTTTAAATCGAACATAGGGAAATTACATTGCATGCAAACTCCTATGCTCGCATTTAAAAAAAATTCACTGTATAAGCATATATATAAGAGAAGTATATGGATAAACGAGTGGACACGCCTATCGCCAACGTTAGTGGATGGAAATATACTTCTGTCATTAGTTGGGAACTAGGCGCTAATGCGCTTGCCTGTTATTATGTAGTGTTATTCATACATATTGTCTTATGTATGGTGTTATTTACCAAGCATTTACTCCAGTTTGACATAACGGATTGAGGTTAAATTGTTTGTTTTGTTTATGAGTTATTGAACTTTTGTTTAATTTTAATAGTAAAGAAGCTTTTCGTAGTTATATAAATCAGTATACGTAAGTGATACACAATAATTGTAAAGGAATACCTAATGTTTGGCAATTTTAGTGTGTTCATTACTTAGAAATAAAGAAATGCAGGTACTTGTAGGAAAGTGGATTCTTCGGTTTCATGGCACACGTAAGTTACAATGCAATTATCTGCAATCAATTCATTTATGTCATACTTGTTATTAGATTTCCAAGTGAAAAAAGCAACAAGAATCGGTGACTGCAAGCATGTGAACTATCGGAATTCGATGATGTAAAAACAAGGTTGTGTTCTCGTCATTTTAACCGCTATGACTGCATTGATTTGGATGCACGCAAGCATGATGGGGGCACGAAGTTATATGGGGGTCACTTAACACCTAAAAGATTTCCAACTCGACAATGTTAATTTTATTTTAAAATCAGTAAATGTCTTTAATTTAATGGTGTTTCTTTGAACATTGGTAATGTATCACTTTATATTATAGCTGATGCGAACTTATCCAATTTCATGTTATATTCAAGATATAATCCCTATAGGTATATTATTTCAAATTGCAATTTAAGTTTCTAAATCGTTACAAAGTTTGCCTTCGAAGTTGAAGGGTGTAACCGTAAACAAACTCCGCTGAGGAAGCTCGAAAGTTCTC